AGAAGCATTAAAGATAGATTTTTTTAAAAACACGTCTTAGGCTGCTGGAACTGACAAGAATATATTAAACCATTGACTGAATGACCTTTTGCTGTATGTAAAATTTACTTGTATTATTACATACATTTATGTTATTGTTATATCAGTGATACGGAAACTGACCTTTAGTCGTATGTAAAATATTACCATATGCTAATGGTTTTACTAGTATTGCTGGCATTTCAGTTTTTTTTTTTATTTACCATGTTACCTGGTCCACGTTAAAATGCATCTATGGGCATATAGGGCACATATAAAGTGATGGATGTCATAAATGAAAACATTATTTACAAAACATTTGTTGTAATTTACAGTATGGCCCTCTTACTATTTCTTGGCCCCATTCCAGGCTAAAACTATTTTCTCCCCCTCCCTACCTCTCTCTAAGCAGGGACGGACTGACCATTCGAGCACTCAAGCACTGCCCGAGGGCCTGGGGTCAGTAGGGGGTCCCATGAAATGCCCCTGGTACCTTTTATAGGCTTTGTTGGGTGTGCTTTAAGTGTGGGCAAGGACACAGGAGCCCCATGATCCCCTATTGCACGGGGGCCCCATGATTTGTCAGTCTGAGTGCAAATGCTAAGCTGAATGTGAATCATGAAGTCTGTCCAGACTAGACAGATTTTTTTTAGCATCTTTATCAATGTAATATATTATATTAAGTATTGTAGATGCAGCCCAAAGTACTCCGTTCACATGAATATCACCACAATCTTTTACGTGCACTTAAATCTGTTAGGTTTAGTTTTGCTTCCCCTTGTAGTTATCTGGGCAATCAATATAAGTAGACCACTGTATTAAAATCAACTAAAGGATAAGCAGTGTATTGTTTTCCCAGGCTGTGTGTAATCGGAGCAGAAAAGGTTTTGTTCAGTGATATGCCTAAGGCTCCATGCACAGCTACTTATGAGCAATTTTTTCCTGCTCCTAGAAGTTAAAGCGTTATAAACCCACAACAGTAAAATCAGTCTGTGTATGCAGTAAAGCATGCTTGTTATACTCACTGTGGAACCTAAGGGGTTAATCCTCTGCACTGTGCAAAAAGGCTGTTTGATCCTGTCTTCTCTGCCCCTCCTCTTGTTGAAATGACCACCTGATACAGACTAAATCCGTAGTCACATGCACATGCTCAATTTGGTGTGTATTGCTAGAGAGGTTTTTTGTTTTTGTTTTTCTTAGGAGAGTGCATGTGATCAGCACAGGGCCAATGAGCACTGTCCAGACAGAGGTCAGGGGATTCACATCCTCCTAGAGCAGAAAGAAAACTCCTCCTACAAGCTTTAACCAGTGCTCTGCTGAAGTCATAAGACTGCTGTAACTGCTGATGAGAAAAGGTATTTAGCAGTTTATATTTACTAAAATAATTGCATTTCCATGTTGTGTGTACTGGGGGAGACCAGATATAGTGAATGCAAGGGCCTGGGTTTAGTAACACTTTAACAACTTCCCGTCCGGCCCATGTAAATAAACGGCCGGACAGGAGCAGTGCAGGGGCAGGTGGCCGGACACATTGGAACACCGATCGTTGTATGGGACCTCTGTCTGAGGTCCCGATCATGTGATCACTGATTGCCAATCAGTGATCACATGAAGAGTAGTAAGCAAGATGTCACTTCTGACATCATTGCTTACTACGTGTGAAATCTGTGAATGATCACAGAGGTCACATGGTACAAGGATATTCACAACAGCCTTGTACCATGTGACAAGCTGTGACCAATCACAGCTCACACAGTATTTCTCAATGGCTGCAAGAATGCAGTCAGAGAGGAGAAATGATTGCTTTTACAGCCTTTATGGGTGTAAAAGCAATCAGTGTAAAAAAAAAAGTATGGTGACACTGTACTGCTGAGGTGACAGTAATATAAAAAAAAAAATAAAAATGTAAAAAAAAAATTTAGAAAAATTATAATTTTTGGTTATAAACTAATTTGGGTTATTTTTTTTATTAAAAAGATAACTGAATAAATGTTCCAATATTTATGAAGAAAGATTATTTGCAAAATTTTATAAGAAAAAAACTTTTTTTCAAAATTTTTGGACATTTTCATTTATATAGCAAAAAAAATCCCAGTGGTGAATAAATACCACCAAAATAAAGTTTTATCTGTCTCAAAAAAAATGCTAAAAAAAATTCATATGGGTACAGTGTTGCATGACCGCGTAATTGTCATTCAAAGTGTGATAGCACTCAAAGCTCAAAATTGGCCTGGACAGGAAGGGGGTAAAAGTGTGCGGACAGGAAGTGGTTAAATAGTGTTTTCGTATGTGTCCATGCACACTATTGTAGGCTAGAAGCATTTTTTCAAGCTTCAGCATCTAGGAGAAGAAACATTTCCTAGAAACTGTTATCAGCATTTTTATTTTGCTGCTCTTAGAAGCTAATAGTGTTATCCTATGTGTCCATGCACACTATTTTAGGCTAGTAATGTTTTTCAAGCTTCAGTGTTAGGAGCAGAAAATATACTTTTTGTTGAGTTTTTGGGAGAATTCTTCTGGCAGAAAAAATGCTGAACGCTCTTAAATGCTCCTAACAGCTTTGTCCTAGCTTTTTGTTTTCTTTTTTACATGTACCTAAATACACTAATGCTCCTAAACGCTACTACAAGCTGGCACAAAAATGCTATTATGAATATTTTTCATCCAGCTTTTTCTTCTAGCTTTTTTGAGCTTATAAAAAATGCTAGTGTGCACGGAGCCTTAAAAAACAACATGGAGTCCCCTCCCAATCCTTACCAGACCCTTAGGGGAACCCCTCACCAACATTTTTTTTTTTTTAAATGGCGTAAGAGTTCCTCCCAAAATCCATACCAGACCTTACCTGAGCATGCAGCCTAGCAGGCAAGAAAAGAGGGGGGATGAACAAGTGGCCCCCACTCTCCTGAACCATACCAGGTCACATGTCCTCAACATGGTGCTCCCCCCCCCAAAGCACCTTGTCCCTATGTTGATGGGGAAAAGGGCCTCTTCCCCACAACCCTGGCCGGTGGTTGTAGAGGTCTGCGGGCGAGGGGCTTATCGGAATCTGGAAGCCCCTTTAACAAGGGGGCCCCCAAATCCCACCTCCCCCACTATGTAGATGAGTATGGGGTACATTGTACCCATTCATTTACAGTACAGTTCCTGCAGTGCACCTTCAATACAGTACACCACAATGCTGAAAATGCTGCAGGTGCATTTTCTTTTCGTATATTATGTGTGCTACCAGTCTATTCAAGATAAATGGGCTGCCCTAACGCCCCAACAACACGTACGTTATCATAATGTATTGTGTCCATGGGCTCTTAGTGAAACTAAAGTGGCAGAGTTATTCATAGATATGCATTAAAAAAACAGAAGAGAGCACAATTATTACAATGTATTACTTTCACAGTAAGGTTGGGTTTTCCACTGCCTTGCTTCATGATAATGCACATTACCACAACTCAACGCATGTTAGTATGTTGCAGTGCCATCACCCCAATGCCCTAAGACAATGTAACTCCAACTCACATGTGTTGCAGCCCACCACAATGTATGGTAATACACTCCTGTGCATTGTGGTGCAATGCGTTGCCTGTAATGATGCATGTTTTAATGGATGTTTTCGTGCTTTTCCAGGCCATTTATATCTCTTATAGCACCCATATAAAATAGAAACTCAATTTAAAGTAGAATTGTAAAGTAGCCAAACTCTTCTTTTTTGTGCAGTTCTTTTTTTTTTTTTTTTGTGTAGTCTGTGTCCCGACTGTAGAGGTTTCCCCTCTTGTTTAAGGGGAACCAGTCAGACCTGAATGAGAAACTTCCCAACCTGCAAACAGCAGTAATAAATACCTGACAGGGATTATAACCCTTCCCCACTCTGTGTATAACTAAAAATGTTTCATGTTAAAGACAATACCTTATTATATTATCAATACAACTTAGTAAATGCACTGCTTATGCCATTCAGGAAACTTTGCATCTGTGCTACAGTCTTAAGCAGTCCATAGATTGAGCAATTTTATTTTCTTCACCCATGGGTGGAAGGAAAGAAATTTGCTCGATTCCCCTATCAGCATAGTCAGTGTTGATGGGGGAATCCCTACTGCAGTGCTATTGTATTTTGCTGGCTGAACACAATGATCACTGTTAGCGGCTATAGCTGATGGCAGTTAGGGAAATATATATAAAGAAACCTCATGCTTAGTTTAAATTAGTAAACGACTGCTGCACCTAAAAGATTCCTAAATACTGGACTCAAATTAACCCATATAACGAAAAAGGTGCGCTGTCCCTTTAAATTTTAAATGATCTCTATCAACAGATCCTTATATAATTAAGTGAACAATCAATAAATTTTGACAATAAATAAATAACATCACTGTCATAAAGAATATTTAACCACTTGCCCTCCTGAGTATTTACCCCCTTGCTGTCCAGGCCATTTTTTGCATTGCGGCGCTGCTTTACTTTAACTGACAACTACGTGGCCATGCAACGCTGCACTCAAATGAAATTTACATAATTTTTTTCCCACAAATTGAGCTTTTTTTGGTGGTATTTGATCGCCTGTGCATTTTAAATTTTTTACGCTAAAAAAAAAAGATCCACAATTTTGAGAAAAAAAACAATATTTTTGACTTTTTGTTATTAACCACTTGCCTACTAGGCACTTATACCCAGGCCAATTTTCAGCTTTCAGCACTGTTGCACTTTGAATGACAATTGCACAGTCATGCAACACTGTACCCATATGAAATGTTTATCATTTTTTTCACACAAATAGAGCTTTATTTTGGTGGTATTTAATTGCTGCTGGGTGTTTTATTTTTTGTGCTATAAACAAAAAAAAAGCAAAAAATTTGAAAAAAAAGTTTTTCTTTGTTTCTATTATAAAATTTAGCAAACAGGTACTTTTTCTCCATCACTGATGTGTGTTGATGAGGCTGCACTGATAGGCAGCACTGATGGACAGCACTGATGGGCACTGATGAGGTGGCAGGGATAGGCGGCACTGATGAGCACTGATGGGAGGCACTAATAGGTGGCATTGATAGGCGGCACTGATGATGCTGGACTGATAGACTCCACTGATGATGCTGCACTGCTGGGCACTGATGGGTGGCACTGATAGGCGGAACCGATGGGCACAGGTGGATGGCACTGATGGGCACAGGTGGATGGCACTGCTGTGCACAGGTGGGTGGCACTGTTGGGCACAGGTAGGTGGCACTGCAGGGCATAGGTGGGTGGCACTGATGGGCACAGGTGGGTGACACTGATCAGTGCCCTGATGAGCAATGCTGATCCCTTCACTGACAATTGCCGGTTCTCGGCAGTACTTTCCTCACGCTGTGACAGCTTGAGGAAAGTGCAGCCGATAACTGGCAACTTGGTGTCACTGACATCCCCAATGACACCAATAAAGTGATCAGTGCTAAAAAAAAAGCACTGACACTGTACTAATGGCACTGGGAAGGAAGGGGTTAACATGAGGGGCGGTCAAAGGGTTAACTGTGTGCTGGGAGTGTTTTACTGGATGACAGTGTGCCTGAGCCAACAGGGAGGAGGACTGTTAGTAAACAAAGCAGCCATCCACAGTAATCTCCGGGTGCAGCAGGTAATCACTGGTGATTGACAGCTGAATGACGGCGTGGGTAGGGCTCGCACACAGCTCACGGGCGCCCCCTACCTGGAGATGCAAAATCACGTATATATACGTAATTTTGCGCACCCCTTCCACCCTGTAGCAATATATCTGCTATAGGGAGGCAGGGATGGGGTTAAAGGTTCATTAAACATGTGAAAGTTCTCACCCACACAAGGTCATCCAAGTGTAATAACTGTGCTCAGTGCTCAAATGTAAAAAACACATGCAAATAAACCACATAATCCCATTGGAAATCCTGGAGTCCATTCCCTTAAAGGGCCAGAAGAGTCAAGGAAATAGTCACTAAAGGCCAGCAGTGGACCAGCAGAAGTCGTCCAGTATCCCTAAGTGTTTATGATCTACCTAATAGGTCAAGGGAGAAGGTGAGTGTATGGTGCACCTATTCAATGATGGGAAACACTATGGATTAGCTTGCATGGTGGAGAAATGCGACCATTTGATTACTGCATCTTGGAGCACATTTTCTTTTTTTTAATGTGAATTTATATCTGAGTGCGTATAATTTACAATTTTTTAAAAATGGTGTTGCACTACGATATGTAATTTTGCTTTTTCGCGCATTTTTTTGGAGCTAAAGGTCCAATGAAGATACAGCACGTGGAAGAAACACTACATTTCTTAGAAATTTGGAGGCTACACAGTCCTAAAAGTACATTTGGACTAATTTATATGTCAAACTTCAAGGTGAGCAAGGAATGGGGCTACAATTCAAGCAAGGCATTGGATATTGTTGGATGATAGCACAACATTACGAGTTATATATGTTGGCTTGGACTGATACATCTTCACATTTGAACTTTTGTGGATTGATATTGCATGTTTTTAAAGTTTATGTTTTACATTTTGAAGAGTTAGCACATCACATTTTTTGTTTAATTAAACAAACATATGCTCCAGTGCTCAAGGTCCAGATTCTGAAGGATAAGCCTCTTACAGGACAGGAATGATCTCAAAGCAAAGAGATCACATGCACTTTTTCCAAAATATGTGACCCCACCAGAAAGATGCAGCAAAGATATCCCCACAGCAGGAATATGCAGCTAATTGTCAAGCCACCAAACTCACTCCAACAAAGGCATCAGATAAAAGCAGGAAAGGAGAAACCTTATGAGCGTAGTATTCATAAAAAATAACCTTTTAATGGAATGGTAATACATTTACACATTGAACAAAAAAAGACCATGGTATAACAATCCAAACCGCACTGCTGCAGGACCCACCGCTGTGGCCATGCATAATGAGCAGGGGCGGACTGACAACTTATGGGGCCCCCGGGCAATAGGGGATCATGGGGCCCCTGTGTCCTTGCCCAAACTCAAAAAAGCCTATGAAAAAGGTACCAGGGGCATCTCATGGGGCCGCCTACTGATCCCGGGCCCTCGGGCAGTGCCCGAGTTTCCAAATGGTCAGTCCACCCTTGGTAATGATGTCACAGATCCAGCTCCACCCAAGGCATTTTTCTGTAATAGGAATCTGGGATAGGGATAGCCACTGGCGGTGATTGCATGACAAGAATCTAACAGGCTGGTTGTACTATAATCGATGGATCAATTTCAGTACAACCATCCTGTCCATAGATGGATCAAATCTCTGCCAGTCCCTGCTGAATTGATTGAGATTCCATCCATATGGCAGGCTTTCCATTCGTAATCTGGGCTCTATTTAATCAGATATGGAGTCCAAAAATAGCTTCAAAAGAATTTCAAGGTGACTGTTCCACCAGCTCCACCCAAGGCATTTTTTTAATAGGAATCCAGCTCCACCCAAGGCATTTATTTATAATAGGAATCTGGGATAGTGATGGCCACCAGCGGTGACTGCATGACAAAAATCCAACAGGCTGGTTGTACTGAAATAGATTAATGGATCAACTTCAGTACAACCAGCCTGTCCATAGATGGATCGAATCTCTGCCAGTCCCTGCTGAACTGATCGAGATTCCATCCATATATGGCAGGCTTTCCATTCATAATCTGGGCTCTATTTAATCCGATTTGGAGTCCAAATAGCTTTTAAAGAATTTCAAAGTGACTGTTCCACCTAACATCAGATAACTCATCAAATGAACAGTAAAACCTCCTCTCTATCTCTAGGAGATAATAGAGAGCTTTAATGGGGCAGGAATACCTGGTCTTCTGTCTCAAGCAGCTCAGCAATAGGTGTTCTCAGAATACCAGAATAGCAGCAGCTGGGTGATTTTAAGCAGTTGTGTGTGCAACAGATTAGTGATGTATCATTTCTTCTCAACTACTGCAGTTACTAGCGTTTCAGTAAGCACATAAGAGATGTATCTAGGCAGTTACTGTATGAATGTTCACTTCACCTTGGGTATTGCTAGCAAAAATAATTCTTGATCTACTGAATAGACACAGCTCTCAGGTGGATTATATGCTTTTAAACATGGAAATATGTGCCCGGCTGAAGTTTCCCTTCTTCTGGAAAACTCAATGAACTCTTTCCCCCAAGAGTTAGGCACCACCAGTAATATGGGAGGCATTGCAGAGTATGCCACTCAGAACTGGTGATGCACTAAAGCCCCAAGATCTGGGGGCAAGCATAAAGACTGCAGCCTTATAGTAACAATAATAGGGCCAGCTTGGAATTACACCTGCTGGGCCTGTCCGTTTATGGCCCAAACTTAAAGGAAGCTTGTCATTTGACAGTTACAAAGGTTGCCGTTTTGACCATTTTTTCTAAAATTGCTAGTTGCCTGACTGTCACCCTGATACATTCATACATACAATGCTTCATAAGTCTCTGGAACAAGTATAGAGATAAGGAATTCTGATACTCATTTTCAACATGCATTTTCTGAAACTGTAACTCAAAAGCTATTCCAGACACAGCAACAAAAAAAAAAACAAATTTATTAGGGGGCCAACAATGGCAGCCCCTCTACTTCTCTCCTGATGGGATCACATTAAATGGTCTAAATCCTTGCAAACATGCTATGTGTTTTTATTGCTTCAAAACCATCCATGTGAATATGATTTATTTTTCATCCTGTCGAAACTATGTCTTACTGTTCATTCTTTCTTTACATTTAGGTTAAGCTCATGCTTAGAAAAGGAAGGTGCTTCCAGCTTTGCTCAATGCAAATGGAATTAAAATATAATGAACTTTGGAAGATTTGATGCATATTCTGCAGTTTGACTTAAACTGTTAGTTGCCTGGTTTCAATAGTTTAGGTAAGCAAACCCATATATCTGATTTGTTTCATACTTGTTTTTGGTCAGTGATTCAATACCTATTACATAAAAAAGTGCATGTCATTTTAAATGCTAGTTGCAATGAAAACCTATGTATTTATCTGTAGCATAATATAGGACGCAATATATTTGTTGTCAATAATATCTTTCAGAGGGTTTACTTGCATTTTGTTTTGCCTAGTGGTTCCAAAAGATTTCACTTGTAAGATTGTCAGGTTGAGTATGCAAAACAATGCCTTACAGAAATCATTTTAATCAGCCTATATACGTAAAGTAGAAAGTACTTTTTATCTAAAGTCAGTTTGATCTATTTTTTGATGACTGGTCCTTTTAATTTTGTCTGGTTATCAGTAGAGCACTTACACTGGATTTAAGATCATAAGCAATTTTTAATCAAAGATCAATGTTTACAGATCTGACACTAAAATATTCAAGGCAGTAGACTCAGATTAGGATGTTTTTCTTCTCAAGAGAATTAAGGCAGGTTGAAAGTCTTGGCAGACAGACGAGGTACCGTGTAGATAAATGCAAAGTTATGCTTTTGGAGAGCAAGAATATCCATGCAAATTACACACTAAATGGGATTACATTGGGTGAATCCTTGATGGAGAAGGATTTGGGAGTGGACCACAGACTGAGCAACAACAAGCAATGTCAATCAATACCATCCTAGGCAACCATCATGTTCTAAAAGCCGTATAAATTCACCGGAGAGAACTATAATCTGGCCTTTACATAAATTTTTGGTAAAACCTCACCTGAAATATGCAGCAAAGGTCTGCTTACTAATTAGCTCAAGCTGAGTAATGCTATATTTTATTGTGTAGTACATGATTTAAACCTTAGGTTTGCAAAATCCCAAAGTAACATTCCAATTTCATAGTAAAAATTGGTCTACTTTAGGGATTCTTTAGTCCATTCCGCAGACCATTTTTTTAAAGGCACAGGAAGTATATTTTGCAGCCTATCATAGGTTGGTTCATATTATGAAACATGTTAGCAGTGCAACCTGGATGGCTGAAGTTCAGAGGTACACTCCATTATGCATATAAGATTAGCCTTGGTGACACAGCTCAGCCACTTAGTGGCTCTAATTTCTATTCTGACATTCATCTCCGTCAAGATGCCATGCCTAATATATCATTAGGTATACTACTGTTCACATCTGAATTTTTGTACTGAATCGCATTACCAGTTTAATGATTAGGTTGACTTGGGCTACGGTCCAGTTCTCAGCCTTTGCTGTCCTGGCACAGTACGGTACTTTTAAGATTGCCTCCTATGTCAATCAGTCAAATATTAGCAATGTGCTGCCATTTTTGTGGTGGCCTAATAATGTCATAGCTGAGACATTAGTTATATTTGGAGTAACATGAAATTTGTGTCTACACAGACATACACTGTTTATAGATATCCTTCAAAATGGATTTTCTGATGTAGGTTTGTGTATCACTAAAGGTTTCCTTAGGTTTTAACAAAAATGGGGGGCTTCAGTTTTAAAAATGGGGGCTTAGCTAATATGCTTAGTTTGGTGCTACAAAAATTACTGGCTTTGAGCATTCTCAAATGAAATTTGACTGTACATGTCCATCAACCATTATAATGATGTATATAACTGATGTATACCAGCTAATTACCCCATTTTCGTGAAGTCTAGATGAAATCTTATATTTTTGTAATAGGGGCATTTAGTTCTTTG